CACACACACACACACACACACACACACACACACACACGATGGCTTGGAACCATCAACATGTCAGATCTTTTCACTTCAACTCTCCTTGACCTGCAGAGCAGTGGGAGGACGGAGGAGGAACAAAGCACCAATCACCAGCAGCTGTCGATCAAACACCGGTGACCTCACTGAGGACTTTCTTTCATCTGAAAATCTTTATCAGCAGCTAATAGTTGTCTGGAAACGAGCCGACACACACATCATCTGCTCCGCACTTACGATTTGTCTCTGCGCTGTGTGAAGCGTCGCTGGGGACTGCTCTGCCGTCGCCGTGGTGATAAGGATTTTCCCCGGCTCCGCTCTTTGATTGGTGACTGGGCGCTGGATGATTTCAGGATCTGACACAAAACGAATAACACACACATCAACCATATGTAGATAAATAAAGGTTTTAATTATGACAATCGATCAGGCTCTTAAAGTTAATGTACGACAGCATGAAAACTACTGTTCTGACGTCATCTGTCAGGGACACAAGGACAATTTTATTGTGAGTGTTGTCGTCAGTTAATGACGACAACACTCACAATAAGACGAACCGATCTCACAAAAATCAAGAAATCATTCATTTTGGGAAACTGGTTCAAGTACGGGACACATGTTGGTTTTCCACTTACACTCTGTCTCACGTTCTTAAAGATAAACTGAACTTCTAAACATGTTTTTAAAGTGAAGGAGCTTCACCACAAAGATTTCAGCTGCAGGGCGGAAGAGTGCGACTGTGATGAATCCGTCTGTGAACAGTCACCGTGTGATTATGTGGTGATTCATTCTCTTCTCACCGCAAACTCAACAAACCACCGTGACAGATAAGAGTTGCGGTAAAAGATGAGGGGTGTGAGTGTGTTTGTGAGAAACAGAAATTGGAAAATATCAACAGAACGCAAAAAACTGCAGGATGAACATGGATGGCAGAGAAAAATCAGGAAGTGGCTGACATTTGTCAGCTGGTCAAATTCATCATGTGGTTCTGATATGTGGGTCAGTGTGTGTGTGTGTGTGAGTGTGTGTGTGTGTGTGTGTGTGTGTGAGGAAGAGAGGCAGACTCAGAGACGTAGATTATTTGAGGTTAAATGTTTTATGAGTCCTCTTAAGTTTTCATTTGTATGTTATTTTACTCCACATGCTCTACTGTGATGTGTAGGTCTGTGAGTGTGTGGTTGCGTGTACGACTCCGAGGGAAGACGTTGGTACAGTACATGGACTGCACTGCATGTCAGCAAGATATGTAGGTCAGTGAGTTTGCAGCTGTCACACACAAACACACTGCATAGTACACTTATGTACACTTGTGTATGCACAAACGATGGCAACACAGTCAGACGCTGCTGGTCTGTGGTTTATGAGACTTTGTTTTAATCTCTACTGTAACCCAGAGAATGTGAATTTATTATAAATAGACTGTGTGTGTGTGTGTGTGTGTGTGTGAGAGAGAGAGTTTGAGCTTGTATTAAGTGTATGTCAGTAAGGGTCCTCACAAGTATAGACTTTCAAAGTGTGTTTGGAATGTGAAGAACTCAGTAAACTAGATGAGGGAATTCAGAAGTAGAGATGAAGTTTCACAGGACAGTTTATCTGAGTGCACCACGGTTATAATAATAAAACTTCATTTCTGTAGCTTTCATCAAAACAAGGTTAGAATTCACGGGAATAAAACAAAACAAACAGAAAGAGAAAGAGAGAAAGAACGAGAAATCTGAACACGAAGTGAAGAAATATTTCTCTCAAAATTAAAGCTCTAGAAAAAGGAAGGGAAAGAAACTACACCCACACACACACACACACACACACACACCCCTTCCTTTCCCATCATGCCCTAAATCATTCCTGACAGTTTGTATTCCATGTTCATCCTGACGGAAACTACATCCATCTCTGCTCACAGGGAAAAATGTGGTAAAGGTGTTTCCCTTGTTCGGTTTCAGAAAGAAGAAAATTCTCATGAGTGTATTTCTGATGTTTAATAGCTGGGATCATTAAAACACAACCTACTTCAAACTCCAATCACATGCTAATCTAATACAATTCTGGATTCACTCATTTATTCCCTGGAAATCAGTGACCCATACCACATCCTGACACAAAGTGTTAGCGTGAGAATGAGTACAGTGGTTTTTGCGTAATCCTGGTAAATAACAAACAAACTGAGATAAAAACCGGAGATGGGTAGAAACAGTGACATACAAATATAAACTCCAGCTCAGCCACAGAAGAGCTGGAGCAGACGAGGACGTTGTGGTTGAACAGGAACAGTCGTTGCTTTATGAAGGTTGAATAAATCAAATCAGGTTTGAGTCACTGAAGAAAATGAAATGCAGCCGATGTTGATTTGCACTTCGACCCGACTAATGGACAGCACATGAACTTCATATGGCCATTAACCTCGACTGTGTTTATCTTTTACATGTTTATGCAGAAATGTTTGTGTTTGGATTTGAGTTCGAGAGACACGTTGGTCTTTTCAGGGGAAACTTTGTTCAACTATGAAATAACATGTTGTGTTGTAGTTTGGCAGATAAACGCTCCACTGACTTCACCACTAAGAGCTGTTTTTCTTTTGTGCTACTGTTTGGAATTACGCTCTCGCTCCAAGTTTTCCATTTTCACCTCCAGCTGTTGAGTATTTTCTTGTTTTACCATCCTGGTTGATTTATAGTGTGGTAATGTGAGCATGTCCTTGTGCTGCTTTTCTTTTCCTGCTCACAGACGTCTTCACTCTCTTTAACTAAACTCCTCTGGACCTCATGAAGGGGTTCCAGTGTTTTTAATGTTTAATTACTTAGACTGTGGAACGATTTGTCTCGCCACTCTAGTGGTTGAAATAGTGAAATGTACCTTTAAGACAAACTATATTGCAAAGTGATGAGACAGCTACGTCATCAGACTGTTCTTATTGTTGTGTTAGTTTCATTCTGATAGTTTGCATGTGGTTTTTGTTTTATTCATTTATGATAAGATAGAGTTTGTACCTTCATCCTCATGTCTCGACCGTGTTTCTCCAGCTCCTTCCTCATCTCCTGAGCTCCCAGTCTGGCAGCATTCAGCACCAAATGCTTCCATTCTATTGGCTGGAAGACGTGCGGGTCGTGAGGCACATATAGGCCGATCTTTACCTGGGACAAGCAGAGGAACCGTTCAGACACACCTTTACTGATGCCACGTTTACTTCTTCCCTTCCTCCCCGCTCTTACCTTCTTCAGAGTGTGCTGGTATCTCTTGTAGGAGCTCTCAAACTCGGCCACCAGTTCCCCCAGCGTCCGGTGGGTAAGCGGTTTGTCCATCAGGTCCTGGCGGCGGCTCATGCCCAGCGATCCATAGCGACCGTTGCAGTAGACACCCAGAACAACATGGTGGAAGCAATGGCCTGAAAACTGAGTCTTAAAGCTGATGGGGAAACGCTCCAGAGACGTCAGCCCGTTGGTCAGGTAGCTGGTCAAAACAAAAATGTCAAGGAAGGATCTAAAAATAACTTGTTTCTTTAGCTGCAGCCTGAAATGTCATACTACAAGACTGGATTTATTTCATAAACTTATCTGCAGCCACTTTGACGGCACCACTGCGGCTGCACGTTGGACTACAAATCCAAAAATAAAAACTAAAGCTTTAGCACAAACCTAGTGGGAGGGTATTTCTGTGTCTCGTCACAGCACAAGCGACACAGAAACTCGAGTCATGTGAAATAAGACGCAGCCTGAGTCTCAGAAGGCAAATACCATGAAAATTCCACAGGATAAACAATTGGTCTCAGACCGGCAATTTGTGAGCTTCTGCTCTGCTGCTCCTGTCTGATTCAATCTTTTCATCGTTATGTTTCTCTTATTTACTCAGAAAAACAAAGATACATGAGCTCCCTGAAGTCACAAAGTGTGTGAGCACATTTTGTGGCCTAATAACTCTTGTCTGATAGTGACGGGCCTCAAGTGGTCTTGAGCTTCTTACCATCTACCTGAGTTCCTTTCTCCCTTTCTGCCTCCTCCAAGGAGGTGATGTTTTCATCTGCTTTGTTTGTCTGTTTGTCAGCAGGATTAACACAAACACGTGGAAGGATGTGGTATCGGTCAGGAATTAATGTTGCAGCAGGTCCGAATCAAGGGGCTTGATTTGTTTTTCACTCTCTTTAACATTGTGAGATGGGACATCCTCTGTCACTATCGTTTTATTTTTAAAAATCTAGCACTATTAGGGAAAGGACTGTTGGCGAAGGTATGAACTCTACTGACAGACATCCTAGTTTCAACATTGGTTTCGATTTATTATTCTTCTAAAGGCCTGGATTTTATTCCTGTTTCATACTCTCGGATTTATTGTGTGTGTGTGTGTGTGTGTATCGTACTGTTGGGCCGTGGTGCAGAGGGTATGTGCTCGGCTGAGATCTGTTGTAGTTCGTTGGTTTGTTTGTTTCTTCACAACAATATGTTGCAGATTTTCTCAAACAAGTGAGACTGAGCTGTTTAATGATTCTGTGTTTAACAAGTACAAATATTTAAACAGCGAATCCAAAGAGCGGATGAGTAAATTCTAAGCCAGATCTCAAGCTGTGGACGACACAGCTTCAACACCAACACTGATCCAACTGCGGCAACACACTGAGATCTGGACGTTTACGGCCAGTAGCCAACCATCTGCTCCGTTCTGTCCGTGGAGGCCTGTCATTGGCCAGAGCGACCGTCTGTCACCTCAGCAGCCGAACGCCGCAGAGCTGCTGTAGTTTCATTAAATAAGATTTAAGATCTTCAAGATTCAATATAAAGAAATGCTAAAAAAAAAACATGATATCTTCTTTATGCACGGTGTTGGACACACTCGTTAAAATCATTCGAGATTCATGAATTATTCCCTGAGCAAAGCGCCCCATGCTAAAGGAAGTGAGAAAATGACTGCGTCCGTCCCCTGATCCAGATTTGTTCTTCCCTCCCTACTTTTTGAGTTACAAACATAAACACAGATGTGCCTGTGAAAGGCTCATTTCAGCAGATTGTTTCGGCCAATCAATAAATCGGTCGGGCTCTGGACAGTTGTCTGATTATTATTCTACTCGAGGCTGCTTTGTACCCAGGCCTTATTCTTCTTCTAGAAAACACTGGAGATGTTAATACTGTGAGACTCTGAGTCAAACCCACACAGAGAGCTGTTGTCTCTCCAGATAAACCCTAAACATCCTAGAGAGAATTCCGAGCAGGAGAGGAAGCAGCCGCAGAGGACAGACTGAAGCCGGACAAACAGACAGGAGAGCTCCGACCACCACAAGCTACAACAACAGATTCTATTCATCCCTCCCTGCCCTTTGCTTTTCTGTCCTTAATTCCGTTCTGTTTGTCTCGTCTTCTCCAGAAGGAAAAACACACTCAGTCAGTTTTTACCTTCCACTGGTCGCTTGTCATGTAATTAAACAAGTTTATCCTCACTCTAGTGGAGAGTGCTGATAAGAGATAAGAGAAACTAACAGTAAATGCTAGTGGCCGAAGTTGCATATTGTACGTTCAAGTGTCGATCGAAGACATTCAGTTGTAAATGATTGGAAAATATTGGAGGTGTAACCTTTCACAGTATTTGTATCTAATGATAAGTATTTGTACAGACTGAGCACACAGCAGGACACATGACAAGGGTGTGTCCTCCTTTGTTAGGATCTAGCCGCTGGCGTCTCACCTGCCCTTCAGGTGAGGCCTCATAGCTCAGTGGTTAGAGCACTGGTCTTGTAAACCAGGGGTCGTGAGTTCAATTCTCACTGGGGCCTGATGAGTAAACAGGGTGGGTGTCATGTGACACTGATCCACTTTTGTCCTTATGTGACAGCACTGAGTCAGGATGAGGTCATCACAGAGCAGCAGGCTCTTATCCTCTCTTGCTTCCACCTCCCCCCCCGTCCCCCGTCTTTCACCTTGAATTTATTTTTTGCCACTTTCGCTCCTTCCCTCGGTCTCTCCTCTTCCCCTCTGTCGGATAAAGTCAGTCTCTATTACAGTCAGTGTCAGCTGCCCCCAGTGACGGCCCGGGAGCCAGGCCACAGTGAAACTAGCACATGTGACACTGGACCATCCGTTCATAGAGGACACGAACAAATCTGTTCATCTACTAAATCCTCCACATGTCCAACATCAGAAGCTTTACATCCTATAGGTGGCTGATCTACACCCAGACAGATGAGTCTCCTGTTAGTTGTAAATTGCCGTAATCATTCACTGTGGATCTGACCTGCTACTTGGGGAAGAACTTCTTCAACATGAGGAGTCAATACGTTGAGAAGTCTCACGAATGAATTTATACATCGGCTTAATGACTGAAAATTAAAGCTGCTGCAAAAAAATGACATACTGCTGCTTTAAAAATTCAACCTCTGCCGGATGATACTAAGCCTGTGAGCGTGTGTGTGTGAGTGTGAATGTATGGTTGGGGGTTAAACTTTGAAGTGGGTTTGTTGCCAGGCAACGGGGTTCAGTAAGAGCTGGAAAGGGTGGCAGTGATGACGGTGGGGGGGGGGCATTAAGACATTAGAGCAACGTGTCTCATTGATTTCACACAGAGATAAAATAACCTTTTGGCCCAGTGTGTGTGTGTGTGTGTGTGTGTGAAGGATACATTCCCAGGATAACGGCTTCGAGGCATTTGATTGGCAGAGACTCCCTGATCATCTCTCTTGCTGTCTCCATTAACCTGGAGGAGGAAGGACGAGGGAGAGGATGAAGAAGAGGACAGAGAAAATAGAAGTCTTTGTGATTTTAAAGAAACTACAGTTGAATCAGGGTTTACACAAAGGTACAACTCCAACCACAAGAGTTCTGATCTCTTGTTTCATACTAAGTGTATAAAAACAGGTTTTTGTTAATTATTATAAAGTAAATGCATCAGTCTGTGGTTAATCAGACTGAGGTGTTTGTTCTAAGATTCTGATAATTGGCTGGTTGTGGTAATCTTATTAAAATAAAATGATTCAATAATCAAACTCTTACCCGCACAGTGGACGGCTCTTCTTGATTTCAAAGAACTGTGTTCCTGTATGGTTGTATCTGATAGAAATGATAAGGATGAACATTTGGAGTAAGGGTATCATTCTCTATAATATCGTTGTTTGGGGTGGCTGTGGTTAAGGAGGTAGAGAGGGTCTTACGCTAATTGGAAGGTCGTTGGTTTGATCCCTCCAGGCTTTGACGCAGTGCTACTGAAGTTAATGTCATGCTAGTACCTTTAAATGTCTGTCAAATATAACGAGACACACAGAACTAACTTCACCCGACAGGTGTAGCTCTCACCATGACATACATGTGCTGTCATGTTGTGTGCGTGTTAAAGGATACTGCAGGGCCTTCATGTAGTTCTGGACGGCCACCAGCCAGTCTGGGACCGACATGGACGGTTTGAAGGTCGGGACTGAAGGAACAGGATGCTGGAGAAAAAGAAATAGAGTTAAAGTAGAAATACCACTCGGTGATTTTTGATCAAATTCTGATCAGTTTGTTCATGACTCAAAATCAACATTTGTACTGAATTTGTAGAACATTCTCTCACAGTGTTGTTGAGATGTTGTTAGCCTTGTAGTTTTCTTGCCAAAGCTCTCATTAGTTATATTTAGATAATACAATATAATATAATTGCAGCACAATAGTACAATAACTTCTGCTACGTTCACCACAGCGACCGCTGCTGCTAGTTGTGGTAGCAGCTGAATGAACAGCATTCTGTGCTAAAAAGACCAGATGAGTGGCAGTGTGAAAGTCTGACGATGTGACTCACTCCAGAAAGTTGAAGTGACATCTTTTGTTTCACCTCAGAACCACAGACACCCACAGAGGTTTGTGGTGAACTGGAAACCACTCGACTGATTTCGCAGCTGTTTCACCTCATGAAGGAGCGTTTCAGGGAGGAAACCAGTATCAGAGATGTGGCTTCACTCAAACACAAACCGACACTTCCTCCGTCACAGGCTGCCTATGTTGTGACATGTGGCCGTGCAGGAAGGGTGAACCACAGCACCGTCATTTCCTGTGGGTCTCTGCGTCGCTGTTTATTTAGGAGTCAACAGACACAACATGGAGAGGACGACCTGATAAAACTGTGGCACATGTGATCTACTAAGTTATACTTATTGAGAATGTGATATAATAAACCAACACAATTGTTGACTTTTCATCTAACAACACACATACTGACGCAATTATTTAAACACTAATGACAATCAATCAATCAAGGAAGCTTTTAATAACAAGCATCTTGAATCCATCCCTTTGTTTTAATCTGGGCCAAAATTGAACGACTTTGATTGATCCTTGTCTCATCCTACACTCAAGTTTTGTGCTAATCTATTCATTAGATTTCAAACACACCAGTGGACAGGGGTGAAAACATAACCTCCTTAGTTGAGGTAATAAACCAGTCAGTCAGTCTTCAAACCAGACGAGTGAAATAATCACTGGTCGACCTTCTACCAGTCAACAGTCATACCGTCCAAAAACCAATCAGCCAGCCAACATCAGTAAATAGCAGATGTGACTGCCATATAATCTCTGATGTAGTGAAATCCCCACTAAGGTTTACACACACACACACACACACACACACACACACACACACACACACACACACACACACACACACTAAAGCTGCTTTCTGCTGGGTGAGGCAGTGAGATGAGTGGTGATCCCTCACTTTTATCCTCCTCTTCTCTCTGCTACAGGAGGAACGTCATCTTTCTGCTGCTGTTACCACATTCAGAGCAAGAGAAGCTACACTTTAAACATGCTGCTATGACTGGTTCCGTCTGCCACCATGTGACCCATCAGTATATCCTTGAGCAAGGCACTAAACAGTCTGAGAGACGAGGGAGAGAGGGAACAGAGGGGTATCTCTCAGTGACCGTTATGACCTTTCTGAGTTTTGAATTGTTCACAAGGGAAATGGGGGATGGGGAGTAGAAAGTAGTTTGAACAGAAAGTCACAAGAGTGAGCAAAGAACATCATCTATAAAAGGCTGAAAGAGAACATGAGTAAAATAAGTTTAAAAACAGAACAAGTTATTTACAATAAGGAAGAAACCTGACGACACCTTCACAGAGCAGGAGTCCAGCAGATTTTTACGTTCAGGCAACACTGTCACAAGCATCTGTAAAAACTAAATTCCCCCTGTATTTTCTGGGAACAGTCCCAACAGCGAAATATAAAAGTAACCAACTGGACAGTAGAAAACACAAGGATCTAATCATTCTAAAAACACATTTACAAGGAGTACTTCTGAATACACAAGTAGAACAGAAATTATTTCGATCCCACTGGCGTCTAAATAAAAAGGTCATTTTCTCACAGCCGAGGAGCCACATGTCTTTTAGTATCATTACAGTGCGGGTGTGAGATCGTACACATATCAGTGACCTCCGTTACCTTTAAAGTACTTTTGCTCTGTGTGCATTAAAAATGGAAACAACCAGAGCAAGACGGAGGAGGGGGAGAGATCATATTTCCTGCTGTCATGATATCTTTAGAGCTGGGCATCCTGAGGAATGCCTGTCTTTTTCTTAGTGTGTGTGTGGAGAGAGAGACAGTAAGATAGGGTTAGGGAGAAGTACTTATACTTCTATACTTCGTTGGGGGTTGTATCTACTGCAGGATTACAGTAAAAACACTAAAGGACACCTTCTTGAAGACTACTGGTGTAGTCTGAAACTCGTTGCCTCAGAGCACATCTGTCTGAACTAATCCATGTTGGCAAACGTCCACAGCTTCATCGGCTGATCCGAAACAAGACATTTGTATCCTGAACTTCCTCCAGACAAAGACAAGCACAAAAACCTGTTTTAATCTGCACCCACACATACTAACAATCTCCATTAAATAGCACAATATGGTCTTATCCATCGTGCAGCTGTGGCACGTCTTCCTGTTACGTTGTCCTAACTGTACGTCGCTGAGCTTGTTGCTTTGTTTCAGTTTAATCACTTAATGCCGTCCAAAATAAAATCCTTTCCTCACAGCTTGAACAGAAACATTTTACTCCAGAACAATGGGGCCTCAATGGATTATGGAAATGACAGGACATCATCTATTGTTAGATTTAGGTCCTGCTCCTGTCCAGTGAACACACATGGAGTTAAACATGCGCCTCAGGACACATTCATTAAGAGATTTTAAGAATAAAGTTCGAATAAATTCATACATTTACAAGAATAAAATGACATCTGGTGGGCACGAGTTCTTGCTGCTTATTTAAAAAACAGATTGTTTTTCTTTATTCTCATAATATTATGACTTTTTCTTGTTAAATTAACACTTTTTTATTATAAATGTTCTCGTAATATTTAGTCTTGTAAATGTATAATTTCATTCTCATAATGTTATTTGATTCTCAAAAACCCCATTCTAGAAACACCCGATCTATATCTTGAATTAAAGGATTTCTTTTGTCCAGGTCTTCTTACAGATCTTTGTGCAGAAGAGCTCTGACCAGGTTTGTTTCTCCTGAAAAGTCCTTTAGGTGTAGTCCAGGTGGTTACAGGAGATTATCCACAACCCAGATTTTATTAAAGGGATTATTTGGCCCCTGTGCCAAGTCTCCCTTTCTGTTAATGAGGGCACGGAGAGTGGCAACATGGTCACTGACGACATCACAGACCTACACTGTGCAAAATGCTACTCGGGGGGGGGGGGGGGGGGGGGGGGGCTCCTTTGAAAGCAACATGTATGACATGCAGTATGTGTACCTCCCACTGTGTATCATATAGTAACCTGTTGTGTAGAGTGTGTAGCGAGAGTGTATTTGTTTGTGGTCTCTCTTTAACTTTAAATTGATTATTTATCAAATGTTATTCACAGCAGCTGTAATAAATTTCACATTCACAAACCTGCACCAGAGGCAACGGCTTATTCCTCCACATTTAACTTGTTATCAGTAAATTGTGATATATTCGAAGTATATTTAACTTGTTATTCTTAATAACAAGTGTATTTTCTCCTCCTTCATCCTCTAAAGGCATTGGTCATATGAATCAGTCTAACAGCTGTGGTTACCACCTGCTTACACACACACACACACACACACGTCAGGTTGCTAATCAACCGTACAACAACACTGCACGATGAACCAACAGACATGCAGCACCCAGCGTGTTGACAACAGTGTCCTAGCAAAGCATTTCAAAGTAAAATCATTTCACACATATGCAGGTGGACTTAAATTACAATGTTGGGACAAAGTTCTTCAGTATCTTGTCCAATGACACTTTGAAATCAAGACAGAAGGAATCAAGGGATCAAACCACTAACCCTCTGGCTAGTGGATGACCCGCTCTACCCCCTGAGCGACACCCACACAAAAAAGTAAACTTCACGGTCACAAAATGTGCTGATATTACATTATTTATTATAATTTCACAGAGTGACACACTGTCTCTCACTTAAAATGATTCCAAGTGGCTCCACAGTCCCAGTTGGCTCTAACTTTACAGTGATACTCTTGAGCTGCTGAAATGCTCAATTTGAAACCACTGGACGCGTAGCCTACTGACAGAAGGCTCATATGCGCACACTCTGTATGTGCAGTTTTTGTTGTTGGTGCGTTTGTGTGCACATGTCGTCCCTTCTGTCCAGAACAACAGCGTGGGATCTTGGCAACGCCGAACAACTGGGTCACTAATGACCACATGGCCAATTAGCAGAGCTAAACAAGAACCAGATTCCCTCGTTCGCAACGAACGTTCACCCAAATCACTGACGAGAAAACTATGAGGAGAATCTGGGCCGAGGGGCCTGAGCAGCAGCAGACAGAGATGTGTCTCATGTGTTGGTGTTTTTTTCTATGTGTTTTCTGCATAAAGAATGCTGCTCAAAAAGAAAACGACCAGCGCAAAGACACTAATTGTTTGAGACAGAGGACGAAAAGAGGAGCTACAGTAAAGGACAGAGGAAAGTGGTGTTTTTTCTGAACATTAGAGCATGAAAAACTATTCCAGTAGAAACACTGGTTAAAATTATGAACCTGAACATGAGCATCATATGTCTCCTTTAGCTAGTTACGGTAAATGACAGAAAGAATATTGTCTGTTGCATTGGAATTTCATACAAGGCAGCGAGAGGTCAGGAGGAGAACAGCACAACACCGGAGCTGTCATATGAAACATTCAACATCATACAACTTTAACTTGACTAACCTACAGTCAGGTTGTGATAGTACAGGGACGTGTGTACCTGGTACCTGGTGACAAATCTGTAAAGCTGTACAGAATTAACATCATTTAAAAAGTTATTGTGACTCAATTTAGCAGACATGTTGTCATGTGATGCAGTGGAATAGGGTTGTGTGTGTGTGTGTGTGTGTGGGTGTGTGTGTGTTTGTGTGTGTGTGTGGTGGTGGTGGTGGGCGGTACTTCAACATACTTATGAGAAGATCAAGTGTGGAAAATAACAATATTTTCTTGTTTATCGATAGAGATTTACACGTTCATACAAGGACCACTGAATGATGAAACCCAGCTTGCTTACCCTGGGAAGGTACGCAGCGTTTCGTATCCTGTCCACCATCTCCTGACCCTCAGGGTGCACAGCAGCCACATGGGACCACATCCTCTCCCAGGTGATGCTTTCAATGGGGAAACCAGTCCGGTTGACATAGAAAAGAACTCCTCCATCCTTCTCCTCTTCCTCCCCAGGGGACCGGGAACTGTTATTAGGGGGAGAGGCTGAGGATTCCTCCTGGGTGCTGCAGCGGAGGAGGCAGTGCGAGCTTGTGCTCTTTGATCGGCCGTGCCTGCTCAGTTTGGCCGGGGAAGTGCCGGCCCGGCTTGGGGAGTTGGGTCCTGTCATTGATTCCAGGAGAGCCACGAGGAGGAGGAGGAGGAGGAGGAGGGATAGTCAGGGTAGGGAATCCTCCTCCAGCTACGAGAGCTTCTCCTTGTTGGTCAGTGACGGACAGTTCATTTTGATCTTCAAGGGCAAATCTAGCTCAGAATAAAAAACAGAACCTTCAGTCTAAGCAGCACATCTTGTGAATCATCAAGTCAGGTGATCATCAAAAGTCTAAATATACTTCTAAAATCAAGGTTTCCAGCATGAGTACATTTCTGTACTGCAGGGGAGCAATTCTAAACAATGATTCCATAAAGACACAATAATGTATTTATAAAGCTGCTTTGATAGCAAAGAGGATCTGTGCCTTTCCTTAGAGAAAGATGATCATATCACTATAGGACAGTATAAAGTATCAACTGTAGACCTGTACACAAAATATGCAGTTGAGGTATATATTAATAATTATCACAGACTTTAAACTTAACAGAAATAATAATGTGACATTCATCATGATAATTATCGTCATCACCTGAAATGACAATTTTCACCTTGATGTCACTTTTGGCCAAATGTTCTTTGTTTATCGTCAAGGTACATTTCAGTTGATGTTGATACTTGAATCAACGGTGTCACGAGTTACGCTAGTTTCTTCTTATATCAACTCTTCTAATAGAAATGTTAACGTGACATTCACCATGATAATTATCGATATGGACTGAAATGATCATTTTGACCTTGATATCATTTTTGACCATGTCGCCCGAGCCGGTCACTTTAAACTAGAACAACAGTGTCAAAGCTTATGCTAGCTTCTCATTATTTACAGTACAGGCAGACACGTGTATAAAATAAAAGGCATTATGCAGAAGCCAAATGTTCTCAACACTCTCCTGTCACTTTGTTACCAGCTTCATATCGATATCTGATTTTTCGATATCTGAGTGTATCGCTGGATTATTATCGTAACCGTACCGTGTTTAACACCGGGGCTCCGGTGTCAGGGGAACAGCGGCCGCTGCGGTTTAACGGGCGTTTGACTCAAAAACCAGGCGAACTGACGAGGCAGGTCCCATTCATGACGAGGAGTCGTTGTCCACCTCCGGCTGTGAAAGGTTGTTCGGGTCCTTCGTAACTTCACCTCCTCTTCACCTCCTCCTCTTCTTCTTCTTCTCTGTGTCAAGTTGGCGGGAGAGAGCGGCCGCTCAGAGCGGAAATAGTCGGCTTCCACTTCAAAATAAAGGCCTCCTGTTTGTCGGGGATGCGTCTATTCCAGGTGAGCAGATGCAGCCAGCTCATGGCCGCTTCACCTCTTTGCTGGCGGTGGATTTCACAGAAACACAAAGTAGTTGAATCCAGTTCCCGGTGGAGGCTTTTTAACGTTTGACAAAAAAAAACAACCCGGAAGTGCTCCTGTTTTATTTTGCTAGCTTGCTAGCGCTGCTGTCTCCGGGGCCGTTACCTCCCACCGGTCCAGTCCGGGGAAAGGAGCTCCGCGGCGGTCAGCACCGGGTCCAGCGCCTCGGTGTCAGCTTCGGCTTCTGTTCTTGAGTGTCTCTCCCGTGGAGGAATCACCGGGACGGGTCTCTCCATGGAGGGATCAGCGGGACGCGTCGCTCCCTGCCGCCGCCTCCTGCGTCTCTCTTCGCCGCCTCTGTCTCCGGCAGCGGTCTCCAACGTTCCGCGGCTTCCCATTGGTCCAGACGACAAAGAGGGGCGGGCCGGAGAGCAGGTGCTACCATATTTGGAAGTGACGCCGCTCTCCGATTGGTTCGCTGCGATGGACGAGGGCGTCAACAAGTGATACATCTGCAACAAATGGGATTTTTTTCTGCAACTGTTGAATTTGCACATTTTGATCTTTTTCATACGATTCATCTACAACCAGAATACAATGGAGATGATTTGATGTATAGGATCAAATCATCTCAAGACAAAACAGAGTCAGTCCGAACAGCTCACAAGATACAAACAGATCATCAGGTTTAATCAAAGCACTAAATGTTGTTATAAACACTGATATTCACTGAGGTGGGGAAGCTTCATCTTGTTGCATGTAAATCATCATCATTTAAAAACTCAAACAGCTCAAACCTCCGAGTATCAACCTGCAGGATTTTCATCACAGCATAAAACACTAACATGTGTATAACAGCTAAACGTACAATATCTCTATGAAAAKATACCATCTTATTATTATTATTATTACTTTAACATTGCAGCAGTAACTTAACTTACAGCTCCCCCTTCTGGCAAAACGTTTTTTTACAACACATTGGTTCATACAAATACAATSATTCATATCATCATACAAATAACACTTCACCATTGTAATGTATAAGAGTAACAGCTGGAGCAGAAGAACATGAAGACACAGGATCAAATATTCCAGGTTTTGGAACGACCCACTACAAGAATCAATAAAATGGCTGAACACTGGTTCAATCCAGTCCACACCATAAAAGTGACTTCAGATATAAAACTTTATAGACTGGCCTTGGCAGCAGTTGAAACTAAATCAATGTTCCCACCTTTGTTTCTCTTTTAATGACAATSACAACTATTATTAAGAGTGACTTTGTTTTCACGGCAGAAAGCTGGAACAAATGATTCCTAAAATAATATCGATGTCAAATGTTACTCTACTATGGTCTGAATGTGATGGTGGCGTAGAGGCTGGGATCAGCTGAGGGTCCAGTAGTAGAGGAGGGAGCTTTCACAGTGCTGTAGGTCACTGCATCATCACCACCCCGGATCTATAGGATATACAATCAATCAATCAATCAATCAATCAATCAGTCAATGTATAGCACCTTTCATACAGGTTAGTGTATTTCAGTGTGCTTCACAGAAGACAACAAATACAAATGTTGACAAAGAAGTATGATGAAATGGATTTWAAAAAAAGACAGAATAGGACGTATTACACAGCAGGTCAGGATGTAGCACGGTTACCATAGTGACACAACACAATGCAAATAAGAATCAAAACGTAAAATAACCTAATGCAGCGCTAAAAGCATGACATGTTTTAAAACAAGGGACAGACACCACAAATGATGTTTTTTATGTTTCCACTCATGACAACATGAGTTCTTATCGAACGGACAGGCTTACCTGGGCCGCGCTGTTGGTGGAGTGGCTGATGGAGGCGTAGGCAACATCATCTGGAGGGTCAACCTACACCATGAAGACACCACATCAACTTCACCAATATGGATTTCTACTGACTCAACCTTTTTCTGTTCCTTAACTTTTACATTACAACTGTATAACTTCATGATGACATGGCATTATTATAAGATTCATAAAAACTTGATTGTGGTATATATGTACATATAGCTCCTCTGATGCTTTTCATTTCTCTCTGATTTTCTATTTTAACTGTAGAATCTGAAAACCAGGGACCAGAAACGTTGCTTCTGTACATCTGATTTTTCAGCTTTATAACTGACCGTGTTTTCGTCCGTCTGCGTTTTGTTCCCTGAGACGACAGAAAAAGGAGAGTTAGCCTCGCAGAGGGAAGAATCAGCTTCATCAAAACATTTTGTCTCCTCCGCCGAGAAGGTCGTGTTTTCATCTGCGTCTGTTTGTGTGTCKATAGTTTGCAGGATCGCACACAAACAAAGATGAGTTGCTGTTCCAGCATTTCTTTTTTCACTTTCTTAACATTGTGAGAAGTTTTCATTGATTTTATGACCTTTATTTATAAATCAGGCATTTCTACAGGACTGATATTTATGTGTGTGAAATTGATGCAGCTCCAAATACAAATCCAGATGTAGAGGATTGAATTGTGGTTTCAGAAGACTGTCGGGCCTTGGTGGAGATACAAACTCTATAAGTGACATTCTAGTTTCATCTGTGAATGTTCCCACCTTTGTTTCTTCTCCATCTAACGACAATCACAACCAGAATAACGATTGTGGCTAACCCCACAGCCAGAGCGATGTACCGCCACCAGTCTGTCAACAGAAAGACAAGAGTTGAGTTTTCTGYTCAGTCCAACATCCTGTATTTACACGTTTTCAACATGTCTTTAAATCAATCAACATCAGCAGCACAGAGATGAATGAGAGGTGCACCAA